TATTTACTCAGCCATCCTTTCATTCATTCAACAAATATTTGCCAAGTACATAAATACATTATATACCCTTGGAAGAGAGATAAACTGTATTTAAAAAGCTGTAGCAAAGTGGAGCACAGTTTTGGGAGAACACAAAAGAAGGTGAGATTGTTTCCACCTGGGGAGAGCCAAAAACTTTCTATTGGGGTTGGAATCACCACCTGGGCTTGAAGGATCTGCAAATGACTGGCAGGGTCTATAGGGGGAGAAAGGAGGGGTGAAGGTGTGTGCAGGGGACAAGGAGATTTTATCTGAGTAGGAGAGGTCAAAAATAAAGCCCATTGGGGCCAGATCACAGGGCCTTCGGTACTGGGCTAAGTGGCTGCTACTCTGGGCGACAGGAAACTGTTGAAGGTGTTTATGAAGGTAGTGACGTGATCTTGTAGCAACGTGTCAAGTGAAACTTGTCAGACCAGGACCCAGAGGATTGTACCTCTATGACTATGAGGAATGCCTTACAGTTTTCAAAACAGTTCCCTGAGAGCATTTAGGACAATATTTGGTTCTGAAGGACAATTCCCTGTCCTACCATCTGGGCCTTGATAACTTGTGCTAGCTTTTTCGTGAGTGGAACCGTGGTGGCCAGCTTGGACTCAGCCTCTCATGTTCTGCTCCATCAGCCCTGGACTCACTCTGGCCACTCCCCAGAATCTGCCTTGGCCACAATGACCAAGCTTTGGCTTATTTCCCATAATCCTTCAGGCTCTGTGTATCAGCACTGGCATTCCCCAGCTCCCGCGCTGGCTTTGATTTTTTTGTCCCTCTTTTTGAGCTGAGAGCTAGTACCGGTTTGGTTTTTGTTTGTTTCTTGCTGTGCTGCGATACTGAGGGTAGATTGAGAGACTTTGATAGTGTTGAAGGTGTGCTGATTTGGATGGGGGCGAGGGGATGGATCAGCAAATATTGTGGGAATAGAAGTGACAAGACCTGATGATTGAACATGGGCAGGGAGGGAGGAGTCAAATGACAGTGCTGAGTTTTTGAGCCTGTATGAATCTGAATGGGTTTAAAGAGGCCAGAAAATACTTTTCTGACTTTTGTTTTTTTTATTGTTTTGAGGGAGAGAGAGAGCGTGCACGAGCATGGGAGAAGGGAGAGGAAAAGAGAGAGAATCTTAAGCAGGCTCTACCCTCAGCGCTGGGCCTGTCACGGGGTTCAGTTCCACGACTGTGAAATCATGACCTGTGCCGAAATCAAGAGTCACATGGTTAACTGAATGAGCCACCCAATTTTCTGACTTTTACAAAATCAAAATGAACCTAAGTGTTGTAGACAGAGCTACTGAAGAGTCTTCTTTTAGCTTTAGTGATAAGTCTGAATGAAGGGTGTTATGAGCAACTGACTGAAAGAAATATGCCAGCACCAAAAATGCTGATCTTCGAAAATGTGGACAAAGGCCTTTCATTGGTTCATTGTCTTTCTATTATTGCATAGTATCTTTTTAGTGAAAAACTTAGTACTGTGTTTTATAATTTAGGAAAAGACATGTGACACTAAATTACAGCCAGGGTTGGATGGATGAAGGCAGTTTAATACTCAAGGATCTTGAAAACTGTGGAAAACAAGCTGGTTTTGGGCTGAGGTTATTTTATGTGGTGCCCATGGATTGATGCACTGACTTTAATGTTTTCATAGTGGAGTATTAAATAATAGTAGTAATAGCCAAAACTTATTGGGCAACTAGTGTCAGGCCCTGCTCTAGGCATTTTTTTACCTACAGAATATCTCATTTAATCCTCAAAAACCCTGTAAAAATGGGCATTTCATCCATTTTACAGGTGAGAAAATTGAGGCTCCTGGAAAGAGAGGCTCAATGTAACATAGTTACCAACTCATGCTCTTCAATATGGGCTATTGTTACTGATGTTTTATTCGGTTGGTTTTAATTCATGGATGCACTGAGGGTCTCTTATGTGCCTATCAGTGTTCCTGAAGCATCTGTGAACATGTAGATTATGTTTGTTTCCAACCTGGAATGGCTGTTCTGTGTACAGCTGGGCAGGATGGCCTCAGTTAAAGAGTTATCCAAGACAGCCTGCTTTTGTCTTCTCCCTGATTCCTTAGTTCAGCTTAAGGACCTTCCCCTGGTGGGTGCCTTGGGTGCTCATCACCATTACTATCATTGATTTAATTACTATCGATTCTTGAGCACTTTCTCTGCCAGCTACAGTGCTGAGCATTTTACTGCATTATTTCATGAATACCTACCGTAACATTATGAGATTGCTCCTCTGTCTTCATTTTACACGAGGAGGGGGATTAACTTGTCTAAGGTCCCATTGCTGGTAAGTAGCAGAGATGGCACTCAAAGCCATGTCTGTCTAATTCCAGAGTCCATTTGCCTAAACACGGTAGTATTTTGCACCAACACCAGGCTTTTCTCAAAACGTCAAGATCCCTACTTATTTGGGTTTAGATAGGCTTAATCTAAAATTGAGATACATTCTGGGAATCACTTGAGGTTCTTTTGCCTCTAGAGCTTCTGATATTGTTAGCTGTTTCATTCACAGTTTGAACCAGTCATTAGGTTAATTACTAAAGGAAGCTGTAATCCCTTTTTTATAAATGCTGCCTGGTGGAAGGTGTGTTGGTACTCAAATCGCAGAAGCATTTTTCTCATACATTGGGAGGGAGAGGTGGCATCATAACACCTCAATAGAGCAGGGCATCCTTGAGTGAGGCTTTGTGATGTGGTAGGAAATCAAGTTTCAAAGCTTTGTAGAGCTCATCATAAAATGGCATCCACCTTCTTTCATTTAAATCCAAGTGCTTGCATGAGTGCCAAAATTAGTATCATAAATTAGCAGGCTGTCCTTCTGTGAGACAAAATAGTGGTCCCTTGGACCCAAAGGGCAAATTTTGTTAATTGTTTATATGTTTCGGTGAGGTGAGGCTCATTCCCATTGTGGGAATTCTTAAGATATCCCACTCCTATGGTAAGAAAATTATAGACAATGATATAGAATTTTATTTCTTATGCACTATATAAAGCTAATAAAATATTAAGCAATTAGATAATTATAAAGCCTAAGAATATTTAAGTATTATGCAAATACTGATTAATAGTAATACCATAGACTCACAGCATGCAAAAGCATGCTGATTCAAATTATAGGAGCTTTTATTTGCATTTCTACAGAACCTATTATTAGTGGATCTTAATGTACCTTTCAAGTAATAGTTATTAAAGCCCGTAAGTATGGCCAAAAAAGGTCATTTTGTTGAGGGAATAAGCAAGAATTCCCTCTTTCCTCATAAAGAGCAAGAGATCTAAATACCTGATCTAAGGTAGGATTCTCTATAGAAAGAGGGTATTCATACACTATGAGTGTTTGGGGCTATGATTCCATAAGTTGGCAGCTATGAATTCAAGATTTTCGTAATGAGTAACTCAATCTATGTTGTTACAACTCTTCACTTATTTTTGAAATCTTTCACTAAATTTTTTTAAGCTTTTATTTATTTCTGAGAGAGAGAGAGAGAGACAGCATGAGCAGGGGAGGGTGAGAGAGAGAGGGAGATACAGAATCAGAAACAGGCTGCAGGCTCTGAGCTAGCTGTCAGCACAGAGCCCGATGCGGGGTTTGAACCCACGAACCGTGAGATCATGACCTAAGCTGAAGTCAGACCCTCAACCAACTGAGCCACCCAGACACCCTCACTTATTTTTGAAATCTTACATGCATAATAGCTTTAAACAAATCTTATTGTTTAAATATCAAACATATTTTAATATTTCTCTGTAACTATATCAAATTTGAAAACAAAAAATTAGGCCAAGCTCACATGAAAGTATTTTAAAATATTTTGGAATTGTTATATCACATTTATTTTTTCTCAACATAGTACCATTCCAAGGACTAGCAGCTGATAAGCACAGTCAGTGGGACCTGTGTTTATTTCTCTACTTTGTAGCAAGTCCTTGAAAGGTTATAAGGATTTCTAAACTGTCTCAGAATATTTCTTTGCCTTTTCTCCCCTATTTCTTTTTCTCATCTCCCTCCTTTGCAAATTACCTACTCTCTAAAGCTAATAAGCACAGGTTGGAAAACCTCAAGAGTATTCCTAATGCCTGACTCTCCCTCTTCCTCCATCTTGAGTTCTCAAACTACCCCTGTTCCCCCGATGATTGATCCAAAGCTTTATTTTCTTCTAGTGCTGAGCCAGGCGAATGCATGTTGTTCACTATTCTAAGGTAGCTGTGCTTCCAGAGTTGTACTTCAATGTTATAAAGATTTCAAGAAAAGCATGGACTAGTGAGTACTTTACTTTATAGTTAGGGACACTGGAGCCTGGAGAGAATGAGGGACTTGACTGATGACATCTAGCTGATTTCTGTCTCCCTGGAATTGGAACTACAGCTCAGGTCTCCAGACTCTTAAAGTTTTTCCCTCTGCTTCATAGTAATTATGTAAGGCTTTGAGTCACACAAAAAATCTAAACCAGAAACATAGGAGCAGAACTAGAAGAAACAGTTGGTAGATTTTATCCAGCACTGTGGTTCAGTGAGATGAGGTGGAGCCTCAAGGATCTAAGGAGGAATGGAATGACGTGTGTGTGGAGTTGAAATTGTGGGCCACGGGATTACTGCATAGGAGTTGGATGACTGGAGGTATAGGGGAATGAAGAGCAAGCTGAAGTGGAGAACCGGATAAGGTTGAATGGTAGTCATAGAAGGATATAGAAGGATGGCTGAGTTTATGGCCAAGGCAATGGGTTGTTGATGTAAGATGAAGAAAAATTCTATTGATTACTGGATAGATGGTCCTTAGGGACAGCAGGGACTCTCAAGATGACGTCAGAAGGGGAGGGAGAGATAAAGGCATGTGCGGCATTTTACAAAGTTCTCAGGAAATGTGAACTAACAAATCCTTGGGAAACAGTGGCATTAGTGGGGAAGATGTGTGTCTATTTTGTAAGAGATGCCACATTTCTAAATTCTAATTTTCCTATTTTTCTAGGGAAAACTGAGGCTACCATCAAAAACTTCAGTCCCTTTTATAGTCGTCAGTACTCTGTGGCCTTCTGCAATCATGTTCGCAGTGAAGTAGAACAACAAAGAGATTTGACATCACAATTTTTGAAGACCAAGGTAACCCGTGGACATTTGGTTGACAAATTTCTCCCACTTCTGAAGGATGCTTTATAACACACCATATTTCTGAAATAAACAGTAAATTGAATGGCAGTTTGAAAAACTCTGTTCTTAGGGAAAATATCTGTTCTCAAATCATTTCATGCTCAAAAAACTCTATTTGCCTGGAATTTAGAATGTATGATTTCTTGTTGATGGTGTAATCCATATAAAAAGAAACCTAGCATGATCGATTTTATTATTTTCCCCACACTGATGCTTTAATATCAGGAAATCTGACTTGCTGTAGTGAAGTTCAATTTTTAAAAAAAGGTCATAATTTCAGTGCCTTTTACTATGGGCATTTTTGCTTTAGTCATTGATCAAACATGATCTTCTCTTCTAACCTCGTAACTTATTCTTTCTCCCTTGCCGTCATAATAATTACCTACAACCACAACAAATAGGGATTGACACTTAGTATATGCCAGGCCCTACTCTAAGAATTGGGGATCAAAACGAATTCTCTGCTTTCCTGTTTATAATCAAAAGTAGGAGATAGTAAACAAATACACCAACATATATCAGGTGCCTTCTGGTGCTAATAAATGCTTCAAAGAAAAATAAAGGAGGAGTCTTATTTTAGAGAAGATGGTCAGTGAAGCCCCATGTGGAGATGAAATTTGAGCAGAAACTCAAGTGAAAGAAGAGTAGGTAGGCTGGGTGAATATCTGTGGGAGATGGAGCAGCTCGTGCAAAGGTCCTGCAGGAGTCCTAGGCACATCAGGAAGGCTACATGCTGAGAGCAGCGTGAGCAAGGGAGGAGGGATGATAAATGACTACAGAGTGAAAGGGAAAGACCAGACCATGTAGGAGCTGTAGACTGTGATAAGGGTTTCTTTCTTTCTTTCTTTTTTTAATGTTTTGTTTATTTCTAGGAGAGAGAGAGAGAGACAGCATGAGCAGGGGAGGGTCAGAGAGAGAGGGAGTCACAGACTGAAACAGGCTCGAGGCTCTGAGCTGGCAGTCAGCACAGAGCCCAACGCAGGGCTCGAACCCACGAACCGCGAGATCATGACCTAAGCGAAAGCTGGACGCCCAACTGACTAAGCCACCCAGGCGCCCCTCTTTCTTTCTTTTTTAAAAAAATTTTTTTAAGTTGACTTATTTACTTAGAGAGAGAGAGAGCGAGCACAATTGGGGAGGAGCAGAGGGAAGGGGAGGCAGACTCCCAAGCAGGCTCCATGCCCTCAGCACACAACCCAATGCAGGGCTTGAAATCACAAACCCATAAGATCATGACCTGAGCCAAGATCAAGAGTCAGATGCTTAACTGTGCCACTCAGGCACCTCAAGTGTTTTTATTTTAAACGTGAAGAGATGTTATTAGAGGGTACTGGATACAGAGTGATTTACAATTTTAGGAGACCTCTTTGGGCCTCTCTACAGTGAATAGACTATAAGAAGGGAAGACAGATAAGAAGGGAATTTGGAGACTGGCGAGAAGGACTCCATAGCAAGGCAAGAGAAGGGTGACGGCAAACTGGACTAGGGTGGTGATGGTGGCAGTTGTGAGGAAAGATCCAAGTCCAGATGTATTTGAGATAGAGCTGACAGAACTTGCTGATGGAATGGGTAGGACATAATAGAAGAAGAGAGAAAATCAGTGATGACATCTTGGTTTTTAGTCTGAGCAAATAAGTGGATAGAGTTGCCTTTATTCAGAGGAAAGACTCAGAGGTGGATACGAATCACAAGTTCCCTTTTGACCATGTAGGTTTGAGATGGTTATTTAACTCACACCGTGGAGATATTGAATAGGTAGTTGAATGCTCTCATCTACAACTCAGTGGAGAGGTCGAAGCTAGAGAATAGATATTTGGCCGTTGTTAGCTTATAACTGGTATTAGGCCCTGAGACATAATAAGGGAGAGTATCGATAGAGAAAAGAAGAGATTCCACAACGAAGCCTTAGACCCTCCAACATTTAGAAGAGGATCCAGCAAGACTGACGGACAAGAAATAGCCTGTACAGGAGGAGAAAATCAGGAAAGAGGAATGTGCCAGAAGGCCAATAAAGAAGGGCTTATAAGAAGGAGGGAGTGATAAACAGGTCAGATACTGCTGAGAGGTTGAGTGAATTGACCTATAGATTTAGCCACATGAGTGTGCAGGGATAACTGAGTATTATCCCCATAAACAGTGATTCTCACAATGTAGGGAATTTGTTAAAAATGCAAAGTTTGGTCCATAACCCCAGAGATTCTGATATAGTAAATCTAGGGTAAGGCCACATTTTAAACAAGCATATCAGTTGATTTAAGTGGCCCAAGTTAAAAAAAATTGCTGCACATAAAGCTATAGAGTTCATCCTATATGTTGGTTCAATCTCATTTAAAGAGAAGAGTGAGGTCCTCTCTTACCTGTTAATGAGGCAAGATAGGAAACTGCCCCTTTATCTGTCAGGACAGAATAAAGTCAGAAGGCAATTTAGTTCATCCCTTAGCCAATTCTTAAAAAGATTAGCATATCTATCTTCTCCGTACGGTTCATGTAAATTTTGCTTGAAAGTGGAGGGATACGTTTCTAGAGGCACTTGGATTTTTTTAATAAAGGGAAAATAGATGTAAATTCAGTGACATGTGCAAGACAGGAGGCCATTCCTATCTTCTGAGATAATACAGGAATTATACTATGAGACAGGATGGGAACTGTTCCTTACAGAGTTAGCCCGAAGGGGGACCTAACTAAGAATCTAACAGAGACTCCCCTACAGCACATATGTCACCAGGGTTAAGGAGAAATCCTCAAGCCTTTTGCTTTAGTAGAAAGGCAGAACTGAGGTGTGCTGGCTTGCCTGCTCGATCTTCAGCCAGATGGCAAGCATGGTCTCCTTGAGCATGGGGATGAGCTAAGTGTTTACAGCCTGGACCCCCAGGGCTTTTGAATCTGGGAAGCCCACTGACCCTCAAGGCTACACCTTATGGTGGGTGGATAGGGGAGCAGCCTATTAATTCTCCAATTTTCAGGCATATTCAAGATGTTGGCATAGATAGCCACAACTTACACTTAACTACCTCACTCCCTCTCTTCCAGAGTTTACTACAGATTCATTAAGTGCCACATGTATACAAAGCACAACCTTCTTCCTATAATCCCTTCTACCCTCTACTTCTCTTCTTATAGCCTAAGGGAGGGAAATGGAAATCACAAAAATATCAATAAGACAAATATTTGCATTTGGTCAGAGGGAATAGGAAGGGGAAGTGTGGAAGGAGGTGGGAAGCAACAATTTTCCCAGGATCTCAGCACAAGATAGTTTCCTAAAATAGTCCTTGAACTCCCCTGGATAGACTAGTTAGTTGGTAGCATGCTATGTTGTCTTCTCTTGTAATAATTAATTCTGTTCACCTTCTTTAAAGCCACCGTTGGAGCCTGGAACTGTTCTGTATGAAGCAGAGCTATCACAGTTTGCTGAAGACATAAAGAAATGGAAGGAGCGGTACATTGTGATTAAAAATGATTTTGCTGTGGAGAGCTATGAGAACAAAGAGGTAAAACATTTCCTGGTTTCCATTTGCAACATTTTCAAACATTGGCTGGGTTGATTGACATGCCCTCTCTTTTGAGGTTCATTCATTCAATAAGCACTGACTCATGCAGACACTCACTTCAGTTAACATGTTTACTGAATGCATGTTATATACCAAGTGTCCTAGACGGTTCTGAACATGTAACAGCAGATGAGAAAAACGCCTGCAGCCTAGTGGGCAAGATACACTTGGAACGAGTAATTGCAAGTGAGTATGAAGATAGGTTACACTGAGTGACCAGTGCAGGGACCTTTCCTATGATCATTCAGCTTTAGGGTCTTTTTCAGTCACTGTCCTCATATCTCCCCCTCTCTGCTCAATGTCTCCACCACATCTGCCTACTGTTAAGCCTCCTATGTGACAAGCAGCTGAGGGTTACTTACTAAGACTATGACTGAATTTGCCTGGTTGCTACGAATTCAGACATTTCAATACTTTATGCCACTTATGCTTATGGATTTTTTCATTTAACTTTTTTCTGCTTATCATATTATTTTTCTGTAAAATAATTAGATTATTATCTAATATAATATGTCTATAAACTACAGAGTAAGTGAGGTAGAGTGTAAAGCCTGAAAAGACTTCAGTTTTTATTGGTTTTCATTTTTTTCCCCATGTAGGGAGGTAATTTGGCATAAGAGGAAAGAACAGTGAATTTGGGAAACTAAAGTTTAGGTTGAGCCTCAATTAGAGAGTTAGGCCGAATGATCCCATTGCTTCTTTCCAGATCTCGCACTGTACACATTTTTAGTTTACATCTATCCTCAAGCTCCTTTTGAAATGAATGGTTACTTTTCAAACATTTCAAGGTAAGAACAGATTTAAAACTGCTTTCCTGGGGCGCCTGGGTGGCTCAGTCAGTTAAGCATCTGACTTTGGCTCAGGTCATGATCTCACAGTTCGTGAGTTCGAGCCCTGCCTCAGGCTCTATGCTGACCACTTGGAGCCTAGAGCCTGCTTCGGAGTCTGTGTTCCCCCCTCTCTCTGTCCCTCCCCTGCTTGCACTCTATCTCTCTCTCAAAAATAAGTAAACATTAAAAAAAATTTTTAAAAGAACACCCCTTTTAAAAAACAAAAACAAAACAAAACCGCTTTCTTGATTCAGTCCAAGAGCACTCAGCACAACCTCCATGGGTACTTTGAGTAATACTTCTGATGCTAAATCGCTAGGAAGAGGCTTTGACAGGTCAATGTGTGTCCTTTACATTTCTGATGGAAAGTAGAAATAAAATACAGTTCAAACTTATTCCACAGGCTCCCAGGCAATGCTCAAGTGCTCTCTTAAGCAGTCTTACTCTTAACATTCATTAAGCTAATATCTTCTCTGCTTATCAAATGAGGACTTTATTCAACACCTGATTTGCTCTCCGTAGCAAATTGTCAATGCACTACCTACAATAATGATAATAATAACAAATCACCTCATATTTTGGATGGCACATTACAGTATTTCAGGGAAGTTTGAGAAGAGACAGGATAGCATCATGGATAATATAATGTGCCTTGAATCACACCTTTGCCAGTTACTGGATATGTGTCCTTGCAAAAATTATACATTTCCTTGAGCCTCAGTTTTCTCATCTGTAAAATAAATGGTGAACACGATCCCTTCGTTACAGTGTTGTTGTGAGGATCAAACAAATGAATGCATTGAGGCACTCAGCATATGGCCAGGTGCTGGGAGAGCCCAGTGTAGAGTGGTATGATTACTACTAACTAATCGGGAGAAAACATATATAGAGCTTTCTCTTGGATTTATTAGGGTTTCACCATATTTGGCACTAACTTGAGTTTTAATTTTGAATCAAATTTTGGTGTCTTTTCCTTCCTCTTTTCATTTTTTCAAGCTTGTTCCTTCAACTTGCAATTTCTGGACTATATTGCTTTGTTGTTTTTTAAATGTTTATCTGTTTTGAGAGTACAAGTAGGGGAGGGACATAGAGAGAAGGAGAGAGAGAGAATCTCAAGCAGTCTCTGCACTGTCAGTGCAGAGCCCAACGTGGGGCTCGATCCCACAAACTGTGAGATCATTACGTGAGGCAAAATCAAGGGTTGGACACTCAACCAACTGAGCCACCCAGGCGCCACTGCTCATCATTTTTAATAAACTTGTTCAGGTTGTTAAGATACTGTCACTGAATCTGATAATAACTGCATTTTTTTAACATGGAAATTTAAAAACTGCCTATGCAGTTTACCATAATTCCTCAAAGTTTTAATAATATCCTGTTTGTTCACTTATAGAAGGGCATTTTTTAATTACACCTAAAAGTTGTAAATTAAGTACCTATAAATTGCCTATTATTTCGTCAAAAGTGCAGTTTTGGCAGGTAATTCAGCAGGAGAAAACGAAGCATTGTCTTTTGATAAGCAGGCACGACTTTCTGTTCACTTTCTGGATAGACCCGGGTATGATTCCTGACTTTGTCACCAACTTACCACTGGATTACTGACAAGTTATTTGAGCTTCATTTTCCTCATTTATAAGATGGAGAGAACAACTGATTCATAGCACCCTTTTGGGGATTAAATTACATAACATTCATAAGAGCCAGGTTGGGGCCTGTTATAACAAAGAACACAATTCAGTCTTGGGGCCAGTCTGAACTGAACTGAACTGAACTGAACTGCTCCTTAGACTTTCTCGAAGTCACCCCTTCAGATTCTTCTCTGTTATGCTCTGGGTCCCTGATGTGCTTAAGCAGCTGATGAGTGGTTCTTACAAATTGGAAAGCAACCTTCTTAGATATGCAAGAATTTGCTTTGTCTTCACTTGCCATCCAATTGATCCAGAATATGTATTGTTATTACGATTTTGTTGCCTTGATCGACATCATTTTCCTTTTCCCCAAGACTACCTTCTAGATTTTGGGTACTGCAGTTTCCAGGTTTCCATTCCGATTTTGCATTTGGGCTGTTCATCTCAAAATTTTGCCCTGACTTAAGCCCTCCCATCAGATGCACTTGCTTACGTGTTTCCTTATTCTTTGTCCCCACGAGTGGATCTTCCGGACAAACTGCTTGTGAGCTTTTCATCTCCTGGCTGCGCTTTGTTCTGATGTCATGATGTTGCGTTTCCATCCCAGACCGTTTTACTGCAAAACAGTCTCACCTGGTGGCACATCTTATCATGGCGACATTTTTATATTTTTGGTGAAAATCCGCGGCAACCATAATTGCACTTACATGTCCCATATGTCACTAGTCATGAACCCCTAAGCATTTTCTTTTCCTTTCTTGTTTTTATAGTTTATTGTCAAGTTGGTTTACATGTAACACCCGGTGCTCATCCCAACAAGTGCCCTCCTCCATGCCTATCACTCCCCTTCCCCTCTTCCTCCCTCCCCCCTCAGCCCTCAGTTTGTTCTCAGTATTCAAGAGTCTCTCATGGTTTGCCTCCCTCCCTCTCCCCAACTATTTTTTTCCCTTCTTCTCCCCTATGGTCCTCCGTTAAGTTCCTCCTAAGCCACCTATACGTGCAAACATATGGTATCTGTCCTTCTCTGCCTGACTTATTTCGCTCAGCATAACACCCTCTTGTTCCATTCATGTTGCTACACATGGCCAGATTTCATTCTTTCTCATCGCCATGTAGTATTCCATTGTATAAATATACCACATCTTCTTGATCCATTTGTCAGTTGATGGACACTTAGGTTCTTTCCATGTTTTGGCTATTGTTGAGAGTGCTGCTATGAACATGTGCCCCTATGCATCAGCACTCCTGTACCCTTGGGTAAATTCCTAGCAGTGCTACTGCTGAGTCATAGGGGAGTTCTAATGTTAATTTAATGAGGAACCTCCAAACTGTTTTCCAGAGAGGCTGAACCAGATTACATTCCCACCAGCAGTGTAGGAGGGTGCCCGTTTCTCCACATCCTCGCCAGCATCTAGAGTCTCCTGATGTGCTCATTTTAGCCACTCTGACTGGCGTGAGGTGGTATCTCAGTGTGGTCTTGATTTGCATTTCCCTGATGATGAAGGACGCTGAGCATCGTTTCAGCCCCTAAGCATTTTCTGCAGTAAATGTCTGTATGCGTCGTGACCGGTGTGATTACAAGAACGATTCAGGTGCCAGCGTCTGACCTGGTTAAGTGTGGTGCAGAATTTCTGGAAGTTACTGCAATTATGTTTTCCCCACTTGAGAAACATAGCTAGAGTGAATCTCCTGAGATTAAAGACTCTGACTTACCACGTTGTGACCATCACTTGAAAGTATTAAAGTAATATCTTGCAAAGAACAGGTATGCAAAACATATTTTTAAAATATGTGGCTCTTACTCAGTGACTTAGTGTAGGAAATTCTGTCTCTGAGTTGTGTGTGCCTGTGTCTATTTCTAATATTACTGATATTTTTCAAACATCCAAATGGGGAAAATCACTTATTTATGCCTTTTTCTCCCCAGGCCTATCAAAAAGGAGCAGTTCCTAAAAGCCGAATTCTTCCAGCTGGTGGCAGGGTGTTAACCTCAGAAGATGAATATAATTTGTTATCTGATCGGTTTTTCCCAGACCCTATTGGTGAGTTGCTTAGCATCCTTTCTCAAGGCAAAACTCCTAAACTTGCTTTGTTTAGCTAGACCTGTGGTTCTCAATGGTGGAAGGGGATTTCACTTGCCAGGGACGTTTGGCTGTGTCCGGAGACATTTTTGGTTGGATAGAAGGTAATGACACTGCTGAACATGCTACAATGCACAGGACAGCCCCTGACATTGAGTTATCTGTCATAAAATATGAATACTTGCCGGGGCTGAGAAACTTAGGGCTAGCCACATGTTCTCTCTAGACAAAAGGAAGATGTCATTTCTCTAATTTGGATAAACATGTTACCACTTCTGTTATTTTAAATCATATTCAGTGATACACAAGTCAGTCACCGTGTTTGTAGCACATGGAAAATGTACCATTCATTTGTCAGGCATCTTGAGACTTTGGGATATGTGCCAGCCTTAATAGCAATACACAGGGCGGCAGAAATAATAGGTAGGGTCCAGTCTGTGAAATATACAATCCCACCCTTAAGCAAACAAGTCCAGATGCGTCCAGGAAGATTATTTTTACAATTTTAGGATGACAAGGCAGTAAAGTATCCTAAATTGAGAAAGTACTTTAAGCAAACGTTAGAGCCACTCATAGTTACTGTATAAAAAGAGCATTGTATTAATCAGCATATCTGTAAGTAATAGCTGATTGCTGCCATGGAAAGAACATTGAATGATAAATTTGGAGGCTGGATTTTTATCTAGTTCTGTGACACTTATCAAGTGCTTTCCCTAGCTGTTGCTGAACCTTTTTGGTTTCTGATTCTCCTACTCTAGGCCCTCTACCTTAAAAATCTAGAAGGATCTTTCCAGCTATACCATACTTTGATATTCATTTATTCCACTTTTTCCATGTAGAGAAAGTGATGGATAATATGTAGACCAAATAGCACGTTTCATAGAAATTCATGAACTGTGGAGAACAGTTCCATCTGGCTTTGTGTAAATCATGCCACACAGTAATTGCTTGATTTCTTGAAGAGAGACCTGGTTCTTATTAATGGGCATAATCATATCATTAGAATTTATGGAGAAAATTATAATTATTTTATCAATCGTTATTTTTGTGCAGAATGCTTAGCATAGTGTTTTTAATAGCACTATTATAGGATTAGTACATGGACCATAAACCTAGACTAACAAATTATTACTAAGTAATTCAAGCCACAACAACACTTTATGTGCTCTGTACATATTATTATATTTCCTTTCAGCATCTACTTGTATGTCATTGTGGCTCTGGAGCTACCACTAGAAATGGGCATACCAACTTGATGAGTCTTCAGAATCTCTCCAGTAGATCTTTCCAATGAAATCAGTCAGCATAGACAATACATTTATTGGTTTATTGGTGAAATCATATCAGAAGGAATGAAAAGGAATAAAAAATACAAGGCCTATGTGACTAATGCCGTTTGGCCCAAAGCTTCAGATTTCGGTATTTCAGTGACTTTTTTTATTGTATGGTGTGGCTGTCTGGGTTTTAAAAATAGAATATTCTACAGTAGATCATTTGTGATATCTTTGTAACTCAACTCAGAAAAAATGCAGACTAATGACATCTGGAAAATTGTTGTACGTTGTTAAATGAGAGATAACTGGAGGCTGAGAGGGGTGCATTTTAAGGGGCTTGCTGAAGCTTTTAAATGCAAAGGGTCAATGTTGCTTTTGAGTTATTTGTACAAAACTGTGACATCTTGGAAAGAGTGAGAGGAATGGTGTCACAAAACCATGTTAATCAGGAAGACTCACTGTGTGATACCAATTCAACTGGAAAGAATAAAGGCACAATCAAGATGAGAAGCCTTAACCTCACTTGGGAAGAGCACTAGAGGTTATGAATGAATATGTCTTCTTTATACACTATTCTACCAAGATGATGTATCAATAATGCCTTCATATTTGGCTAAAGTGATTCACTTATTGACATTTTGTTAGAATCTCATTTGCTGCACACAACCAAAGGCTGAAACACAGAAGGCTTTATTATTTTGCTAAAAATATTTTGGGTATTACAAGTCCAGGGCTGGTATGACAGTTCCATAAATGTCAGGGTCCTTTCTAGCTCTTTCTCCATTTGTGTTTAGGTCCTTACCCTTATTGGCATAGTCTGAGGGGGCTGCTGGAGCAGCAGCCAGGGGTTTTCTCATTCCAGACAGCAGGAAGGAGAAAAGAGGAGGAGGTGGGGACATTCCCTGTCTTCAAGGCCACTTCCAGGAGGTTTCACCACCTCTTCAGTTTATATTCCATTGACCAGAACATAGTGGCTGGGGCAAAGGAAGCTGGAAATGTCGTCTTTATCTTAAGGTGTCACCTGCTCAACTGAAAATTAGGGATTTTATGACTAAGAAAGAAGGGGAAAATAGATCATGTGTTACCACTAGAGGTCTGTGCTACCGAATTTCATCATTCATTCGTTTGTTCATTCATACATTGATTCATTCTTATATTATGTGCCAGGTAGCTTGCGAGGTACTGGTGGGCCAAAGTTTGTGCTTCTAGTGCATTCTACTTTGTTACCTTCAGCTTTCAAGACATTGAAACAGAGTCCTCATATATGCCCCAGGAAGTCTATTTTTTTATTTATCCAGTCTTAATTTATTAATTTGCCAGTAGCAAGACTCTGTTTTGGAGTGGCTTTGAGTCATTGTTGGGTACACCCAGTACTTTCAGTGGCCTCTTAGAGGGTCCTTTTTTCCTTCCCTTCCCTAAGATTGGTGCCCATTTTATGTAGGCAGAGAACACAGAGTTAATAAGCTGGAGGTCATGTATATACATATATATATATATATATAGCATAATATATAATTGGAATGCATGGAAGGAAATAAAATTTACATAGGGATCTGAATAGTAGCATGGTTTAACCTGAGTTTTTTGGAATTGTTTTTGAGGTAAGTGGTGAAAGTCTATTGTTTAAAGCTTTTAAACTTTCCTAGGATAGCACAATACGTTTACTCAGCAAACTGTACTTGAACATCTAGTAGGTTCCATGGCTGTGCTAAGGATCGAGCGTACAAAGATAATGTAAGAGGTGGCTTCCATCCTCCGGGAGCCCCAGGGCAGTGGTACTGCTTCCTGGGGAGGGGAACCGTGTGAGGCCCAGTGGGGAGCTCATCTCATTCTGTGCCCTCCCCCTGAGTGTGAGTGCCAGGCATGAAAACAGATCTCTGCAATATTTAGGAAGAATAACATCAGGAGCACCCAACTCTGTCTCTGGTGGCACGGGGCAGGGGTCGCCAACAAAGGCACCCCAAGGAATAACTTTTTTTTTTTTAAGTTTTTTTTAATGTTTTTATTTATTTCTAGGAGAGAGAGAGACAACGTGAGCAGGGGAGGGTCAGAGAGAGGGAGACACAGACTCTGAAACAGGCTCCAGGCTCTGAGCTGGCAGTCAGCACAGAGCCCGACGCGGGGCTCGAACCCACGAACCGTGAGATCATGACCCAAGCGAAAGTCGGACGCTCAACCGACTAAGCCACCCAGGCGCCCCCCAAGGAATAACTTTTGAACGGATGTTTGAAGGATGCATGAGGATTTTCTAGGTGAAAGAATTTTCTAGATAGAAATGAAAGGAGAAAAGTAATAGGAACTGTTACCTACGATATCATGGAATGGATGACCACGCCAAAGGAGAGCAGAGACCAGCGGGAGTGCAGTGAAGCCAGGACAGAACAGGGCAAACACCAGCACTTCACAGGGGGATAGAGAGAAGGGGCAGAGGAACCGGTAAAGCTGGCCAAGAAGAAACAAATTTTTAAAAAGCATGAAGGACACCCAGAGAGAGGTGATGCTACAAGTCAAGGGGAGAGAAGACAAAGCTTTCCAAAGGAGGGGTAGTTAGCAGCAACAGGTGTTTCAGATTAGGTTAAAAGCCTTACGTAATGGGGGTGCCTGGGTGGCTCAGTCAGTTAAGCGTCCATCTCTTGATTTCGGCTCAGGTCATGATCTCATGGCTGTGAGATCTGTTCCCTGCCCACATAAATGGGTACCAAGCTGCACTGAGCATGGAGCCTGCTTAAGATTCTCTCCTTCCCTCCCCCTTTGCCTTTACCATGCTCACACGTGCACACATGCTCTCTCTCTCAAAAATTAAAAAAAAATATTTTTAATTTAAAAGAAGGCTTAGGTAATGAAGAAGAAGCCACAGGTTGGCCATTAGGATGAAGTCAGTGACCTCAGCAATGGGGTTTCAGGACTGGCGGGGCAGGAACCAGACTGAGGTGAGAAGAGGGTCGCTGCACAAAGAAGCAAATGTTGATCTGGCAGCGTCAGGGAGCGGGGGGACAGCGCAGGGCGGAGAGCGGGCATGGGGACCGGAGGGGGAGCAGGTGGACAGGTTAGCCTGCGGAGGGCCAGGGGGACGCGCAGACTCTGCGGAGCATTGCTAGGAGGAAGTTGAGAAAGAGGGTGTCTGGTGGCCCTGGCTGCCTTTGTCAGGTAGCAGGTGAGGCCACCTGCTGGAGTGAGACAGGTAGAGCTGGTGGCTGGAGTGAGAGGAGCCTGAACTGTCATTTTCCACCCTCCTGTGAAGACCTCTGCTTCGTGTTTCTGTTCCATGGCCTGCCCCAAAGGGTTTCCCTCACAGGCCGACATAAGTATTTTAAAGTTTATGTATTTAATGTGAAAGAGAGAGAGAGAGAGAACACAAGATGGGGAGGCACAGAGAGGGGGGAAAGAGAATCCCCAGTAAGCCCTGTGCTGCCAGCTGCAGAACCCAACGCAGGGCTGGAAACCCGCAAACCATGAGATCATGACCTGAGCCGAAACCAAGAGTCAGACCAAGACTGAGCCACCCAGGTGCCTCCTGAAGTAAGGGTTTTAAATGGAAGACGACACGTTTTAAAATGTCTTTGTGTTTTCAATATTTCTTTAGCATGCAGTGAGAAGGAGCACGCTCAGCCCTTTGTGGTCATGCCCAAGGAGTTCCCGGTGTACCTGTGGCAGCCGTTCCTCAGACACGGCTACTTCTGCTTCCACGAGGCCGCCGAGCAGAAGAAGTTCAGTGCTCTCCTGAACGACTGCATCAGGCATCTCAACCACGGTAGGACAGTAGTATGTGGCTGCTCAGGGGGCCTGCTCGGTCGCCTGTTAGACCAGTTTCTAGAAAGAGCCACAGATAGTGCTGGCCCCTGGAAGGAGGGGAAGTCACGTGAGGCAGGAGTTTGGCGCCCAGGAGAGCCCGCCACTTTGCTGGTTCCTGAGTCAGGCCTGGGAAGCCTCCGTGAAACAGAATGCGGGGCACGTGTGAGCCGTACTTCTCCGTATAATTTTGTGCATAATTCATCCTCTTCCTTTCTCGTGATGTTCCTTGCTGAAGTGACAGCAAGGATGTGCCAGCTGTCCCTGGCAAAGTTAGTCCTTATGACACTCCTTGTTTTTTCTTCCCCTTATATCTGAGTGACTTGCTCAAAACTTTACGGTACACAGAACCACTTGGAGAACATATTGAACACAGATTTGGGGGCCCCACCCTCAGATACTCCAATTCACCGGATCTGTGTGGAGCCCTGATTTTGTTTTACTAACAAACTGCCACGTGATGCTGATGGTGCCGGCCCCGGGCCACACCTGGAGTAGTGTGGCTTCACTTTGCTCTAGGCATGGATTTAATTAGTATCACGTCTATCATGAGAAAAGACTTTTCGTGGCACTCTGGGATGTTTTTGATGAATTGATGTGAATGCTGGGTTTTCTGGACTCCACCAAGTCTTCGGTTACAGATAATTAAGCTCTTTGTTCTTTGGCCGCTGGGAAGGCAGTTAGTCAAATACCATGGAGGATGTACTCTGTGCAAGCCTCGATAGGTGTTAGGATCAGAGTCATGGACTGGGCAGGGTTCCTCTCTCTGGGTCTGTATTCAAACAGAGAAGGACCATAGGAGCACAAATTCACAAGGTAACTCAATAATGTGTTGCAGAGTAATGGGGCGTTACTCCATAGTGAAGAACGGAGTTCAATACTTGAGGCTTGTCAGAGGAGGTCTCTTTGAGCAGGTGACATTTGAATTGAGTCACCTTATCCATCAGTGCCTTTATTTCCTAATAAGGCTAATACCATTGTATATTTTCTTTAGAGTTCTGAGGTTTCCCTGAGAATGTCAGTCCCCAAGAGCAAAAGTCTCTAGCGACATGTGTCAGTCTGTTCTTGATTTTAGCTTATGTATTGATAGGAAGCTATGGGAAAAAATAATGTCACTCTATTTTGCTATAGCAACTCTGAGTAACATTGGCCACAATATTGGCTCATACCTGGTTAGGGACTTTATAAAAACGATACCCTTATTAATAACTTGCCTTGTGGTTTTGATGTTTTAGAGACAAGAATTGCCTGGCAATGCCCGTTCCATCTAGCTCATTTTTCAATACACTTACACCTCTGTGTGCAGGGCCTCGGTCTAGTATGAACATGCCGTTGGCACTAACCATGAGAACCATGAAGTTTCACGAAGCAGAGAATGTTCTCTGCCTCGCCAGATGGGACTTGCTTCATTCCCCCTTCCATGTACATAATAGGAAATTCCCTGGGGAGTTTTTGGATATGATCTAGCCTGCATTCAGCTTCCATTTATGGAAGATTTCAGTCAATTCAAAACCTAACTCTGCTCTCCAGTGTTATCAAAGGCACTGAGATAATGAGGTCTAGTCACTTGCTCTCATTTTATGTCACATTCCTCTGTCCAGAAACAACTTTCCCTCACTGCAGCTCTGTGCAGACTGGCTGTGATGTGGTGGAACTTCCAGTAGCTCCAGGCTGGGCCAGAGACCATCAGAGCATTGTTAGGAACAGCCTTGACCGCCATGGACCAGTGAGCTCCCGGGTCTTTCCCTTCTCACTTGTCTTTCCGTGTTTTTGACCACACAATGTACCCCACCCCCATCTTTACTGACTCACTTTTGTTGTTTCCACCTCTACCTGTTATTCACTATATGATCTTGAGTAAACCCGTAAGAGGTTCACGAACAGTGGACCATTATTTTTTTCCATAATTACCGGAAGAGTGTCGAAATAGATGTAAAACTAGGGCTATGATGGGGGCCAGAAACCCTGAGGGGGCTGCAGGGAGGCTGCTGATTTCCACTCTCAGGCAATTAGAGTAGGGCTGTCAGCCTGCTTTCTCTGTTCCACTGTCTGTCAGTCCACAACACGCCTCTGTTGAGAACTAGGTCTGAGACATTCTAGCAGCTGATGCTGGGCCATCATTGATTTTGTCCACTCACAAGTCCTCAGGGACCTTTTTTCCTTTCCTTTCCTTTTTTTCAAAAACGTTTATGTGTTTATTTTGAGAGAGAGGAAGGGGGCCAGGGGCAAAGAGAGAAGAAGAGAAAGAGCATCGCAAGCGAGCTCCCAACGCCATTAGTGTGGAGCCCGACACGGGTCTCAAACTCACAAACCATGAGATCGTGACCTGAGCTGAAACCAAGAGTTGGACACTCAACCAACTGAGCCACCCAGGTGCCTCTCTTTTTTCCTTTTCATTTTTATTGAAATATAAATTGACATAACATGGTATTAGTCCAATACAATATTTGCATGTATGTATTGTACAATGATCACCACAGTATGTTAATACCCATTGCCTCACAGAATTACAGTTCTTTTTCTTGTGATGAGAACTTTCAAGATCTACTCTCTTAGTGACTTTCAAATATATGCTGCAGTATTGTTAACTATAGTCATGACATTGTACATTACATCCCAGAATTTATTTATGTTATAACTGGAAGTTTATACCTTTGATTGACCACCTTTGCCCATTTCCCTACCCCCCCTCCCACCCCGTTTCTGGCAGCCACCAATATAACACCTGTTTCTATGACTTGGATTTTTGGGGGGGGGTTTAGATTCCAAATGTAAGTGAGATCATACAGTGTTTGTCTTTCTCTGTTTAATACATTTCACGGAGTATAATACCCTCAGGAAATCTTTGAGGGAAGATCATTTCATTACCTTTGTGGTAAGTTCCACCAAAGATGTCTGCCCCTAGGGCTTCCTAGGACACTTCCCTTGGTGCTCCAGTCCCACACAACCCAGCCCACTTGCCCCAGGAATTCGGGGTTCACATTGGTCCAGGGATCCTTGTCCATTCATCCTGAATCGAGAACCACTTCTCCTTCTCCTTATGTGGTGGGTGTGTTTCCTATTTCATCTCAGCAAAGGGCCTGATTTGTCTCGAAAATTTACTCTCGACACCCAGTTCTTGGACAATAAAGCTATGTCCTAGAGTAGGTTGGGGCAAGCAGAGGGCTCTCTGCTCCTTCTTCCTTCAAGAGAGGGAGCTGCTTCTGGGCTCCTCAAAGATTATTTACACTCCTCAGGTACATAAAGGTGTGTGTGTGTGTGTGTTGTTTTGTTTTGTTTTGTTTTTGGCACCTCTTCGTTGAGCATGCATAAAAAAATTCCACAAGATTATTCTTTAGCAGAACATCCCTCCTTCCAACACACTGCCCTGAATATCAAACCATTGCATAATATGTGCCTAGGGCAACTTCAGTCCTCTGTCCTTTAAGGAATCACACTGCAATCCCTTGTCCCCAGTGAGGGAAGGTCTGGGTTCTAAATGTCCCCTGCCATAAAATGAGACTTATATAAAGGTATCCTAACACAGTCCTTTGTCCAAAATCCAGTCCTCTTCTTCCAAACTTTAGTTTGAAAACTCTGGTCACTGTAGTTACAGGGATACAGTTAAAACTCTTTTAACAAGTATAGAGCTGTACGTATACAATATGGAATAATGATCATTATCAGCGCAAGTCTGTCTTTTCAGCTCAGGATAATGATGGCTGGGCATAGGAATTTGCAGGATGGGGAGAAGGTGTTTCTGGCAGGAGGAATCGGATGTGTGTGAGGGGTGGGGGTCAGGAAGAGAGTCAGCATGGATCATTAGAGAAAGGGGAAGAATTTTGTGTGGCTGGTGCTTAGAGAGGAGAGAGGATCCACGTGGGGATGGAAGGTGAGCAGGAGCCAGGCTATAAAAAAGGCTTTGCAATGGATATTAAAGGATTTGCACTTTATTCTAACAGCTAAAGGAAACTATTAAAGGGTTTCAAGCAGATAAGTGACTCAGTTATATATTCATTTTGGAAAGGTCACACTGGCTGCCATGTGGGCAGAGGATGGAGAATAGCAGGCTGGGATGCCAGGAGGCCACTTAGGAAGCCTAGGCAGGCAACGGATGGGGGTAGCCTGCAGCAGACAGCTGATAATGGAGATAGTGAGAGGCGGCTGGATAAGAGAGATCCAGGAAGCGGAATGAACAGAACTTGAGGTTAGATAGTGTGGAGGGTGAGGCAGTGGGAGGAGTCCCAGCTGCCACCGTTCTCAGAGACTGGAGCCTTGTTTGGGGAGGAGCAGGTTCCAAGGGAAGGAGGTAATGTGGTCAGTGTCATAGATGTTGAATTGGAGAAGTTCATGAGCAGCCAGGTGAGGAAGTCTCCTAGACAGACACGTGGGCAGGGCTGGAGACAGGAGGCGATCTGGGGAAATCAAAAGCCTTAGTGCCATCATTGAAGCTGTGGCTGGCTTTGTAGCAAGGCTGTAGTTCGCCAGCCCCTCAAAGGGAGACTGGCTTTCTATCTATGTATCCCCATCCGCAGCAGCTGTCCAAGGGTCTAGTGCCTGGTAAAGGCTCTGTAAATATCTCAATCCTCCATCCTTTGGGAGTTCAGATATGCTCATGTGTGAAAAAGCATGGACCATGTGTGTTGGTGCAGCTTAAAGATGTTTGTATGTAAAATCTGTAAACATTAAGTAAAATGAGTCGGTGCTTTTATGCACTCACTATGTGGATCTATGATTTTACTATTGAACCTGTAGGCAGCATACTCATCAGGAATATAACACCTTTGTGAAATTCAGTGACTCACTTAGGCTCTCTGACTCACCCCCTTCATACAGATACCTACTTAATTGCCAGTGTCTGTTCTATATTTTATTTCAAGTTCACTGCTACCAACCTGCTTTGGGACTCGTATAAAAAACATTCCCAGAGGCTTTCGGTTGATCTTATTTTTTCCAATTACCGCCACTTCCTCTACAGGTAAC